AAATGCTGCATTCTTCTCCGACACCAATGCGCCGAACGTCGCATTGTTCTCATCAAAGCAATCAGGCCGCTTACAGTTTGCGCGCCCAATGGTCTCCTCGGCAGCAGCTGTCACTTGATCGCAAATGTGGTGCCACAGGTCGCCCGCTGTAGCTATGACTTCCACATCACACAGGCGTGCAGCCATCGCCTTCTCCAGCTCAGTACGTTTCGCCACAGTACCGAGGGAGAGGATGCTAAATTTACGCCGACTCACGGCCGGAGTGCAATACATTGATTTACGAAAATATATGTACAGTTTGGTCTGCACCAATTTGTGACCAGTGCCACATTCAGCTCCACGCAGTACACGTGTCATGCGCACTTCACGCATATCACGCTGACATACGATGACATAGTCGAGCAGGTGAGCGTGACCACTCCGTGGGTGCGTCCAAGTTGCTATATCACTCGCACTCAGTGCAACCCGAGTGTTCGTGATCGTCAGGCCGTGAGTGGCACACAGTGAGAGCAGCCTGTCACCGTTCGCATTCGCTGAACCAATGCCATGCGAACCGATAACATCTGTCCACACCAATGCATCACGCCCAACGCGCGAGTTGAAAGCACCCAGCAGAAATAGTCGGTCGCTCCTAGGCACAGACCGTATCACGGAGGATAACTCAATGTAGAATTGATCACGCGTGTCATCAGGATAACACATGGTCGGACCGTACGTGCTTATCAAAGCAGAAAACTTACCTCTTCCGCGTCGTAGACGAACGGTCATCAGTCGCGCGCTGATGCCCGTTGGTTCGCACACCAACTGGCCATAGAGGCGGGCGGATATTGCAAATCCGACCCCATGTTCACGTGGTGCTGAGGCGGCGTTGCCCACCCAGTAGAATGTGTAGCCAGCACTTGTTTCATGCAACTTACCTCGCTCAGCGGGCCGGGTTTCGCTGAACGCCGCAATATCGATGTTGTAGCGCGCCAGCTCCATCGTGACCAGTGCAGTGCGTCGCTCCGGGCGCTCGCTGGAGTCCCGGTCCAGTATTGTGCGCACGTTCCAGCACCCGATGCTGAGTGCTTTGCGTGCAGGCATACGATTGCATTGGTGGGCAATCGCACGCGAGGTGGTCGTTGTGCTTCGGAGGTTGGCTTGAGGGACTCCACCCGGAGCCTTTGGCTCAATAGCCTGACCCACAAAGCAATGGGGAGCAGATCCAGCTCGGGAGTATAACTGCAGAGACAGATGGGGATCTGCTTGACGGCCGTCACACGCCGTCTTTGAGGTACTGGAACAATTATTATATGTTTTTAAACCGTATTAGGATACACACCTGCGACCACGGCCAGACGCAGGTGGGTTTTAGCGGGTTTGCACCAATTTGACCAGGGGCTGCCTGGCTTGAGGCGGGCAGTAGCAAACCAATGAACACCCGGAGGTGTCCTCTCACCGTCAGAGACAATGCGTGGCACTCGTGCTCTACGCCCATGGAGCTGTGAGCTTAAAACCCGTAAACCTGTTGTCTCCCACGGCTAGGTTTTACGGGAAGTGGGCCATGGACCACTTCCTAACCTCCGAAGAGGATGGACTAGGATACTGCCAGGGCGCCCACCCCTGACAGGAGAACGACTCGGGTCCTCCTCCAAAGCCTTCGATTAAATGAACACCCGAAAGGCAGTGGGTCTAGCACATGGTCAGTTCACTGACTCATGCGGATTGGTGTCCTGGATCTTAGCAGGGAGAAGGGCGAAACTCAAGTCTTACCCGGCGGTCGAGACGAGGAGGCGCTTAGGACACGAGCAAATGGCACAACGGTAACAGCAGTGGGCAGACCATCTGCCAGGATCTAGCAACCACCAGCCTCAGCGCACCGTAGGCTCTGCCGCCTATATATATATATATATATAATATTCCAGTACAATCTTTACCGTTACTATTCATGCATTTTTTGCATAAATGGTATAGCTAACCCTAACAAGATAACTCCAGGTTCAAGTTATCTTTGTATGAGTTGTACTGCCATTTTGTGAGCGTTATCTGGTTCATTGGTAATTATAGGTAGTTGGTTAAACATTTGCGTCTTGAGAAAGCGCTGTCATAGCTGGAGGATAAGTAGTCCAGGTTAGGATGATGCGCAGTAGATTTCGTAGCTTTTGCTTTCGATACGAAGCTGCAAAATTTAGAAGATACGTTACCTTTGTCGCTATTTGAAGCTTGCAAAAATACTGCAAGCTTTTTATTTCGGCAAGGAATTCCTATGGTTTATCTCTTCCACAAGAGCTAAATGGAGATCTAGCGTTTTCATGGAGCAGCTTTGATAGTTTAGGAAAGGCATCTCAGTCAGCAAATGCGTGCAGGAACCGAAATCTGTGGCCTTTTATCACGCAAACTCTCTGACATACACCTCCGGCGTTAACTCAACCTCAACATACATTCACATGGACAAACAGATATATAATTTATTCTCGGTGGTGCAAGACACGCCTTTGCAGGTATGGACATGGTACCACGAGACTTAATCTCAGTAATGGCACAGAAAGGTTGCGAGTTAACCAGTACATACTGCATATAGGAAGGAATGTAGTATGTATGTGGGTTCATAGGTAGGTCATCAGGCTAAGTGAACTGGTTACAAGAACCCCTAAATTGTGAGTTTGTTCGGCGAAGTCGCCAATTTAGATATGCAGCAGATGAAACTTTTGAAGCGCTTGCCGTTCGTGTAATGGGTAAGGTCCTCCGGTATGGCAAGTGGCAATGACTTTATTTAATGGTGCGCTATGTCCTCCACGCTACAGCGTTGTTGAGCATAAGTTTGTGGCAGTTTATAAGGAGAACGCTTGTCAAGTGAACACCCACCACGTCCTGAAACACTGTTGCCAAACTATTAGTTGGAGTGGGATTAACCCGAACCACCCAGCTGGCACAACGTAAAGGTTGTTCGACTAGCCAGCCCTTCTTTCGTTTCTGTGGGCCGATTCGAAGATTCATGCTCGCACCGTATTCAGCATGGTGACTTTTGTATTTATGCATCGCAACCTGCACCATTTTCTGTATCTGCTGAATAAGGTAAACACTTTACATGGTAAGCGTGACAGAACTTGCTGCAGATCCAGCCCATTAATGTAGACATACTTGCGTATCCTTTGTTTCTATGGGAACAGGGCTCCGAAAGTTCGGAAACAAACTAAACGAAAATGACTACACCGTGGCAAAAATAAAAGATGTATCTAACCAGCAGCTGCGTGAACACAGGCAAGATTCAGGAAACAGTTAGTGCACGGCAAAAAGCTAGGTTTGTGTTGACTTCGCAGATGTGTTGGCACACCCGATTGGTAACCCGGCATAATAGCAGTATTGTCAAAGTTCTGGCCACGGCCGTCATCAACCTAAATTAGTTCCATGTCTCTCAAAAAGTAACAATAAGCCTTATCTAGTTTTTTGCATTCGGCCTCAATGAGGCGGAGGACGGACACCTCAGTCGTCACTGCCCTTTCACTTTCTTTTTGTAGGATACATCAAGTTTATATAAAGCATACACTTGCATTCGCAACTTTGTTACATGAATATCTATCTCGGCTTCTTTACTAAAACGCCCGCAAATTCCTTGGGAAGGTGTGGTAACCTAGAAACTTTGATGGTTTTCCTTCCCGGTTCGCAAAGAACAGGTTCGTACATGGCTTTTCACCTGGCCTCCATTGTCACATTGGATGTCTTCTCGGTGTCCATACGGTATCATATATTGGATGGGGAGAAACCTGACGATATCGAGTAAGCTAACTTGTACCTCACGCCACAATTTTCCTACAGGCGTTAGTTACATTTCTTATTAATTAACCTGTTTGCGGCTAACCAACTCGCTAATACCTTGTGGTTGAGGAATGATTGAGTAAGCGATACGCTAGATTCGTGTTCACATGGTTTGGGAGTTTGTTTCCACCAGGTTCTGAAACACACGGCAATCGAGAACATGGCTGCACCGCTGAAAACATCTAGCAGTCTAAACAAAACACGGTCCCATCTGAAGGACCAGACGCTAACGATATACGCAACCATTGCTCAGTTTCGGAACCCCTGAAAACACCTGTTCGTTTTTATATTCTTGATGCTAGTTTCGTATTTGTTCCAGGTAGACACAATGATTGTACACTTGATCGAGGTGTTGCACAGCAGTGAAACCAAGGCGGAAAAACAGCGCGATATGCTCGTGGCCTATCTTACTAGGCAACTGATATACATGCATAAAATTGGTTGGTGTGAGTATTTCCTTGTCAAAGTGTAGTCGCATTTTCGATCCTGCAACTTGCGCGTATATTCCACAACAGAATTACAAATACTTCCCTTACCTCCATGCTGTAATGGTCGCATACGGTTGCCTTGGATATCAACGTTTCTAGTACAAGTTTTATCTTCATTTTCAACATGCTTATCAGAATAAGTTTTACCACACAACTGGAGGTAATGTTGTTGAATTTACTCTTCTTACTGTTCAAACTTCTGTGCAAACATCGCTGTCCCTGGTATATGCCACGCAGGGCAGACCGCCCACACACCCTTTATGCTACTCGTAAGCCAACCCAGCCGTCTGTTTTTACTAGGCGGCTTTTGTAGGATGGTGGCCTTGAACAAGCTCTACCATTAGCTGCCCGGACGACTGTGGGTTAATTGGTAGGCTAATTTCTAGCAGAGGTCACGTAGTGATTTAGTTACTAAGGCTCTTCGACACAGTCCGCTGCGTATGCGATGTCAGGTACAACGAAATGTATCAAAAAGGTAGATGATAAATGAAGATTTATGGTCACCAATAGCCCCACATATGTTTCTGTGCATAGCTTATGCATTTGGAAGTTGTAACTTGTTGAAGTTAAGCAGTTAGAAAGGAATACGAATTAAAACAACAGGCTTTATCGGACGTGCAGACGCTCCTGCGCGCAGCGGTTGCATTTACGTGATCAGGTATTTGTCATCTCATCCTTTCACCGTTAAATTTCCCCTATTGCTTTCATCAATGCTCTAATGGTCTCCGCCGCGTTCCTCTGTTAGTACTGTTTTCCAGGTCTGATGTCCGATGTAGAGGACGATTTTGGCGTTCCTCCCAGGGACTCAAGCGTTAGGCTTACGGATGCACAGCGAGAATCCGTTCTTCACTTGCAAGAGATTTCTGGCTCGTTAAACCACGATGCCGCGGCTGATATCCTGAAGGATTGTGATTGGGATCTTGCTGTATGTCATGGTTAGTTAAAATATGTACTTTTAGAGAGCAGTTAATCGATTTTTTGGTCTCCCTGATCAGTCTCAAGATACATCAGTCACTCGCCGTATTCATGCCCAAACGTCTACACTTCCTCCTGTAGATTCGTATCCCGAGCTAATCATCCGTTTTCAGGTTTCCCTTGTGCCCGCCAACCAACGCACTCTGCGAATCACAGAATCGCGGACGTCAACTTGGTGGTGGGCGTTTTCTTTACTGCTCGAACCAATTCGTCTTACTTATCATTTGCTCTTCGGACTTGCGCGACTATTTGGTAAGTGCTATTCACTTCATGTAGTCTGAGTTCACTGAGTAGTCTGAGTAGGTGTGTATGCAACTGTCTGATAGGGTGAAAAATATTTTGATGTTTTTCTAGGGCTGGTTACCCAACAGTTCTTGGAATTCTGCGGCATAGACAATTCCCGGGACGTGCACACATTCCCGTGGTTAACGCGGGTCGTGGCAACGTCGAAGTCCCGGGGCTGTTTTCCACTTAGCAGCACAGGAAACAGAACGCTTGTTAGGCGATAGCCTCTATCGTCCGTGGTACCTTGCCTTACCTGACCTAACAGTTTGTCCTTCGCAGTTAAGATTGAGGGCCAAGTAATAAGGCGGAAACCAGCACATAGCCGTTAATAGGTTCCCAGTGCTTGTTTCCTGCAATGATAGTAGGGGAAGGTTGGAATTAATATCGGTATCAGTGTTCTTCGTTAACAAGGATCGGGGGGTCGTAAAGTGGCTGGTGCTCCTGCAGCAACCCTTTGCACTTTGAAGGCGCAAAGCGCGTACCAAATAATGGGGCCACTCTAGGGCTATTCAGGGTTGATTGTGCCACAGCAACATCGTCGAAAAGCAAGACGATATCGTCCGCATAACCAAGATCAACTAATCTTTCACCAGGCAGCATTTCAACGCCTACATCATGAGATTCCGCAAGGGAGCACTCCATGATATAATCCACGACGAAATTGAACAAAAATGGGGAAATTTGACAGCTCTGATGAACGCCACTTGTGGTCGTAATGCTCTCCGATAGGCCACCGTAGACCTTGACGCGGCCTGTAGTGTTCGAGTATAGAGTACGTAAGATGTTCACATATTTTGTGGGAACACCTTTCCGCGCAACAGAATCGATCGATCGACTGATCCGAATGTACTGTTGAAGACAAAGAGCACGACTATTGTCGGTTTGCGGTATGCGTGGCGCTGCTCTAGCACCTGCCGCAAAGTGAATATATGGTCTATACTGCCACGCCCTGGGCGGAAATCGGCCTACTCTTCCCTTCTCCGAGATTCCCGTTCCGCAGTGAGGCGAAAAACGAGAATTTGGACCACTACTTTTGTCACAATTGGCGTTAGGCTAATACCAATGGTTAACGCAGTCGGTGCGACTGCCGCTCTTGTATATTGTCACCATAATTGATTCACTCCAGTTCACCTGGACACTTCCTTCCAGATAGGTTCGAATAAGTAGGTCCGTAATTTGCAGAGAATCTCACCTCCATCCTTAGATAGTGCAGATGGGAGGGTATTCGGACCAGCAGCAAGAAAACGATTGAGGTCTGTGATCGCGCTTCGGACCTCAGCCCCCGATGGAGCCTCTAAACTAACCGATCACGGCTCGTCCTGCATCACCTAAGTAGGAAGAGGTGCATACTGTGCGAGTCATCACCAAATAAGGTAATGTCATCGACCTAATCTAAGTCAGTTGCGCTTTAACCCATCAGTAACTCCAGATCATAATGTTGGTAACCGTTTAAAGCTCTCGACAGGACATCTCCGTTTTGAACGTGCTAGGCTTAAAGAGTGATTCCATCCAATGTAGAACGAACTACGGCCCAGCCACCGCCTCGTGTGCGCTTGATTCCCAAAATACAGCGTGCTTGTGTTTGTCTGTGAAGGAATGTGAGCCGGCTCCGTTGATGAAACGTGGCTCCCATTCACCTGCCTCCCGGTTTTATTCCTTCGGGTTTACACTGGATATGGGGTGTGTGGATGGAGCTGTGGATGGTGCAGCGCAAGCCACCCCTGGTCCCTCTGTAGGCGCAAGCCTCCTATGACTGTCCCCGTGGAGGCCACAGTGACAGGCAAATCGGGAACTGTATGCCGCCAACCATATCCCCTTGACATTGGTCTATTGTAGTACCCGTTTTCCGAATGTGGGCTACTTAACGCCATTCATACTCGTACTTTTGTATTTGGAACCTATATCCAAATGCTACTGTACCTTCAACGATCCGCTGTTCAACTATGGTACACACTGCAGTGGTGACGTCCGTGCGTACTATACGGGTAATTTTGCACCACGCTGAATTGATCGGCCACGATCTGGTTATAGCTATTTTGGGACTTTTCATATAGAACTCACGTGTTTAAGACAGCAACTGTTTGGTTCGTGTACTCCGTCACAATTGGTTGTGGGTGTACACCTTTAGGTTTCTAGCACGGTTTCGCACCCAGGTAGTTATGACAGTTATTGCATAGGTTACTGATCCGGCCACAGAAATGCTGTCGACTGCCTCATCCATCTCCCCTCTTCGGGACACGCTAACGGTGGGAAGCTGCCGCAGCACCGAATCGACTTTCGACAGAGGAACCACTGCTTCATGAATCACGAGGCTTGACCATACTTCCCGAACGCAATGCCCCTCCCACTCCGTACCTTACACCTTTGTTCTTATCTGTTTTATTCCGTCATTGGTCAGCTTTTCACAAATAAATTTCAGCTCTGGATCGTTCGTTGTAATTCCGGCTGATCTGCAAGGTTGGAGTTGTCGAGTGGAACCTTATCCACACGATGCTCAACACACCTTGGTTAGTTCAGTTTACCATGTGATTAGCTTTCGGTCGGAATAATGCGTTGGTATTTGTGTGCCGGTTTTCGGATATTTGAAACACATTTACAGTCATTTTATTGGCTGTCCTAACCAGAGAGACCTACCTGTAACCTTAAGGATCACAAGCCGGCCTTTTAATTCGAGACCGCAGGTTCCAGCTTGTATAGGAACCAGGTTACTGCCGCAGTATCCTTCCCACTTGCGACTGGCGGTGGTTGCGCGGTATCGAAATGTCGGTACTGCGTACCGGCCTACGGTTGATATCTTTGCCTAACCATAGAGTTGCTTAACCGTTGGCATCCTGAAAATATTGAAGTCACGTGAACAGTGTAACGCAATACATAGAGCCTCCGCCGATCTATCAGAAAATAACGAGGGTTCTTTGTGAAAATCATCCATGACGACATCTTACTCTGTGTACTGTGTGTTAGTTACGCCCTTGTTTACTCAAATATCTGCTCCCGTAATAGATCACGTGTCCAAGCCTGCATACTCGCATTTACCACAGAACGGTGCCTACTCCACTACTACGCTGACGCCTGCGTCCAGAATGAATTCTGTTTGAGAGGGGCAGGTTTGGGAACGCCAAGATTGCTGACTTCGTAAGGGCTTACCGCATTGGGACTACATCTTAACTTGGTGCAATGGTTTGCGTGCCTCAGTGACCCATTGAGCTGTGCTGAGTGCTCCGTATTGCCCCTTCTATCAAGGTAACGGCTTGGTCAATTGTTAAAGATCAAACGAACTCAATCTCCTGGTCCTGCACGTTTGCTGTTAGATTATCTTATTACTAAAAACCGACTCCCTGTAACCCAGTGCTAATCTCCCGTTGCATTCCGGTCAGGATTTTTAATCAAACGCTTTAGTTGGGAACCCTGATCGTTTTTCTGTCTGGATTTGTGTAACCCGACAGTAATCCTGCCCACACAATACAATGAAATTTTTTCATACAGTTTCTTGATGCTCTGGCCGTCGCAAAGGAAAATAAATGGCTCCCTTCCTGCTTCATCAAGCAGAGTGGATGGGGAGTGGGGATGCTGCTGCTCAGGTCCTCCCGTCTCATCCTTCATCTTATGGTTCTCACCTTCGTCCTCCGTACCAAATGTACTTTTGTCCCCCATTTTCAATCCCCAATTCTTGGTCTTTTCCCACCTTATTTTGATAGGCCTTTGTCTTCTAGTTTCGACTTACCCAATTGTGAGGCTTCACTTCTGCCCTGTCGATAATTCCGTGCACAAACAAGCGGAAGATCTCATTTCTTCCGCTTCTATATGGTGCCCTCGATTCTCGCTAGCAACGGCATGCCTAAACCTGCACCTTAGCCAACAGGCGGTACTTGCCCGAAAACCAAGGATGCTATCGATCGGTATCTGCTTTTCATCGGAAACCTGCATGGAGGCTTCGAGCTCGGTTGTCCAAGAAAACTTTCCTGACATCCGTGCTACTAGGGCTCTCTGGTTATCGTAAATAGTGTTTCTACTCTGAATCCTTATTATCTTTTATCTCTTAGCCGGCTTCCAACTTTTCGCGATATATGTTAATCCCGGTGTCTTACGGGTCAAGTCTGTAGCTCAATGCTCCTGGGAGAATCCCCTAAGCCAACCCTCTTTTCGGTCTGGGAAACCTATAAATACCATGCCAACAATCTATGGACCTTGTGTCAGCCATTTTCTACTCCTCTCCTTGCTGCCCGAATTGCTAACTTCGGCCGAGGTGCTGGTGACCGTGTCTGCCAAACCTCGTTCTGCTGCACCGCCGTCCAGCTGCTTTATTGCACCTTTGTTCAATAACTCCTTCCTGCGTTTCCTTGTCCATAACATCGTGCCGCCTTGGGTGAGAGTTCGATGCCCAATCACATTGGCGAGCCTTTTCTAGCGCCCCATTCCCAATTCAAGTTAGCCACCTTTAATGTTCGGACGTTGATGTAAACCGGATCACAGCCAGCTCCTGATCACACTCTATAAATAACTACCATGGACATTTGCCGCCTCACCGAGACCCGTTTACGGGACTCCAACACAACACTACGACTAGTTTCGCGGCCTGCGACTTCCACTGGCACATATTTGGACATCCAGTTGCGGAATTCGCTGGCCAAGTCAACGTGGAGATTGCTTTGCGCACTAGTGCTGAGGCTGATCTACACTGGATCCCTGTTAACAGCCGATTCGACGCGATTCGATGGCCGGCCGCGGAGCCAGCAAACAATGTAGCAGCGTATGCTTCCACAGACTCAGTTAAAGATGAGTTTTACTGTCAACTTTCCGACCTCTGCAAAGGCGCCGCACAGATTTTGTAGTGCTTGCCGGTGACTTAAACACGTAGGTTGGCATACTTGAAGTTGACGAACCTGGACTATATGCTCAACATAGCCCTAGTATTCCCAGTACGGACAACGGTGATCACCTACTTCACGGCTGCTCCCATCATAGCCTATTCCTTTTAGTTATCAACTTTTGGCGCTTCTGGCACCAATGCGTCCCTTGGAGATCCCTGTCACCTGGTCAACCGTGGAGGCAAATTGACGACATCGCCGTCAGTTACCGCTGATGGGGCTGCATACAGGGTTACAAATCAACCTAGAGTACACATCCCACTTCGACTCATGCGTTCTTGTGTAGCTCTACATTTTGGTGACTTCCAACATGATCACCAGAAACGGCCTGGCGTAGATGAGCTTTCTGCCGCAAATGTTCTGAGCGATTTTCAGGGTGCGTTGGCCTCAAGTGTGTCTTTTGCTCAAATGTTGGTACGCACTAGACGCACATCCTCAGGGCCATGCACAGCTCTGCGGCCTTGGACTGTTGTTTCACTAGTAGTCCTGTTAACCAATGGATCTCCGCATGATCTCCAGCTTCTCGTAGCCCTCGAGCAATTTCAACTAGTGTTGGGTATCATTCAATACGCAGAACCGCCAATGTCGAGCCCAAGGAACCTCCGGGAAGATCGCGAGGCCTCGGGATTTCTGTCCTTTGGAGATTGACTGGTGCGCTTGTAATTCAGACTTGCAATGAGTAAGCCCGGTTTCATCGAAATCGAGAATGCATCGACCATCTGGCTATTGGAGCACCGCCAGGTCTTTTACTAACCTACCCCGCTCTCGTTTCTCATTGTACAAGAACGGCGGATCGTTGTGCTCTTAGGGACTTCCTGGTTACGATACGTTTGTCTGAGGAATACGTAGATATTATAAGAGTGCTTCACATGCCTAGCTCGGATAGAGGGCTTATGGTAATCTATCACAGTTCTTCAATGTCTCCAGCGGTGTGAGACAGGAATGCCTGCTACCACGTTTCTTTATTAATTTCCCTACTGACGAAATTACGGAAATCTCCTACATTAGACGCAACTTAGGTGTGACGTTGTTCCCAGGCGATCCACTTCTCAAGTTTGAGTATGCGGACGACGCTGCTCTAATCTGTGACGGCTCACAGATGTGCCAAGCAGCACTGGCACTTAACTGTTTCTGGCTGTGCTTTGCACCATCGAAAAGACTCCTCCATAATTGGCACGGACCGCCACCTGTGCTGATGCTTGTTGGGGGTCAGTCATAAGTCGTTCAGAGGTTCAACTCTTTGGGCAGCTATATCAGAACCTGTGCAATCGGAGATGAGGTCACGGACCTTGGAGCAGAAGATTGAGGTGTTTTTTTCCAATCTTTACCACTTGTAACGCTGGCGCGACGTCACTGTCGCATCTACAATGTAACTTTTCGTTCAACTCTGCCATGCGATCGTGAAACCTGGCTTATCAGACTAACAGACATAAATAGACTTGTTCGAATACCCGTGCATTTACATCTGGGCTCATATCTGGTGGGAATACACCGTAAGCAATGGTCGTGTTCGGTGGCTTGTTTATGGCACAGAAGAGCAGGTGAAAAGCTCAACATAATTATTTCACGCACCAGGTTCCACTGGCTGAGCCACGTGTTACGCGTGCGAACACATCCACTCCTGCAACGTTTGTTTGCACGACCGGGGTCATCTATCGTAGAAGAGGCGAAACCAACCGATGACGTGGTTAAGAGGAACAAGGGCCTTCATTTCGAAATTGATCTCGGTTGGAGACTCGACTCTGACTGATATCCGAAAGACGATGGACGCATTGGCTTGATGCACTTATTGACATGGCTAAGGGCCGAGTCCAGTGGCGTTATTATTGTTTTTTGTTCATCCCATAATGTACATCAAGGCACAATCTTATTTTTTGCTTTACCGCTGTTTTTTTTGCTTTTCTATGCTTCCATCCAATTGCGTTGAGTTGCGATACAATATCTGAGGTGCTTCTCACCTCTAGCTAAGGCTTGAAATGAGAATGATGTTAGTGTAGGTAAACGTACCAACATTCATATCTTTTCGATTCACAGTAAACGAACCACATTGTTTTCTCCACTTTCAGTTTCTTTCCTTTGGCCAGATCCCCGCACTAGTAAGTTTGCATTCTTCCACAACTATATCTTTTGTATGCTTCTACCGCGCCAAGCTTGTAGTGAGCCTTAATATCTGAGGCAACATACTCGATAGAACAACTCTATTTGGAGTTAATATGCACTACGAAATATAATACAGTTTAGGTGTGTGTTCTTCGTGACTGAAGATATAAATGATACAGTCCTCTAAGAGTCGACAGCGTGCATCTGCCCAGGAGCTATTTCGAACGTTTTGATTCTAGTTTAGTGTGTCTAGAGGGGGTGTGGATGCTTGCGTGCGTTACCCTCATCTCAAGTCGGCTCCATAATGGCACACCACCGTACTAGTCTGTTGCACACAGGTAGCGCCACAAAATTCTTTTCTTGTCCATAATTGCCGATAGCGGAGTGTTTCCCTGTAGGTACTTTCGATATAGAACCTTTTCTGTTTTGACCCCATACTTTCAACTGCAGTTTCAGGGGGCCTCCACGGAGGCCAAACGTTTATGGTTACCATTGATATTGCTGAATTAAAATGCATGGATTCAGATCATTTGCTAGCTTTCAGTTGCGTCTCAATAGCGTTCTCTGTTTACCGTAATGGTTCTTGGCTTTTTGATCGGTTGTCTCCATACCCCATGTATTCCACAACTTCTAGTATTGCTACGCGCTAGGCATCTTTTGCGTTTTTGGTGTTTAACTACCCTCGAGATAAAAAATTGTCTCTTGATTCCTTATCCACCTTACCACTTACGTAATTCACTGCGCATGATACACTCCACGACGGCTTGCCGACCATCCACGTACTGTTTGCCCTGTTCATGCTTGTTCTTTGCTATAGTCTATCGCTTATGATCCCTAAATTAATGCGTGTTTTAGACAATGGCTTCCATACTATGAACGCGATGATCATGAACTCGGTTTCACCAGCCTTTCCAAGTGGAAGATTTAATCCCATTTCTCAAATTTTAGCCTCAAACTTTTTCAATTTACCTTCAGCTTTCAAACATCATGCTTCACTGAATTGACCATTTCCCTACTCGCCATCATAGCGAATTTCAGCGATCTTTCTTTTACAATCATTCGATGCTATAAATGGCTGAGTTTGCCAATATTTTATGAGGCGGTTTCATTGAATACTGAATTTTGAAAGTAGAGAGCGAGAAGATAAAAATCTGTGTTACTCCATCGTAGGTGCATCGGGCACATGCGCAGAATCACGGCGCCGATTCCTGCGTGGTGGCAGAATATTGCAGATGCACTACATCTTATCCGTGTATGATACGTTCCCTATACCTCTACTCCGCAAAGTGGACGCTAGGAAATCTCTTCAATTCCGACACAGATTTCGCCTCAGCTAGCGTCTCCGGCAACTTGTTCCGCTCGACGCTCGAAGCATAGAGGGTGAGCAATGTGCTTTAGATCCGGTACAGCTAGTTTGTACCGGTGTCCGCGTGTGCTGACTAGTTCGCGATCGTGCAGCAGCGGCAACTTAGGGAAGTGTCCAAGATGCAGTGTCCGCTGCTTCATTGTGAGATCAACTTGAAGCCGACGATATGACAGGTATACAGCGCTAGTCTTCTACCTCGGTCCTCGTACGACACCCCGTAAATTGGGGATGAGCCACCTAGCTACATGTTGGACATGTTTCAGTCTCTGCACGTCACCTATTGTGCTCGGACAATAGGCTGGTGAACCTTACTCAAATACCGGTCTTATCATGGAAGAGAACAGACGGCTGGCAATCTCTTCCAACCAAGTGCAGAAGCTGCATCTAAGTGTCCAAAGCAGGCGTAATCCGTTTGTGTACAGTCTGTTTGTGTTGTCGACACACTTCAGATCACAGCGTGAGAGTACTCGTAGATCCTTTACCGAACTGGTGGGATGCGGCTGGTGGCCGGCTAGAGTGTACGCACGCCCAATATCACCCCTCCCCAAGCTCATAAATGAGGACTTGGCTGTGTTGACCGGTAGATCAACTTCTGCAGACCACCGGGATAGGCGGTCAAGGTCCTTCTGAAGGACGTCACAGTCACTGGGAGAAACGATAATCCTACAACCCTTCAGGTCGTCTGCAAATATTGCGCAGGCGACCGAAGAAGCTGAGGTACTTCGTTGATGTGGATCAGGAACAAAACGGGTCCCAGTACTGTGCCTTGAGGTACGCCGCTAGGTGACGGGTATCATTCCGTTAGGTGGGCATCCACCTGAACACCCCATGTCCACTGACCTGGTGCAATGCGCCACCAACACCACACATCCCCAGCTTGTGGAGCAGGACCTCATGGTTCACTTTATCAAAACCTTTACTGAGATCAATGTAGATAACATCCACTGACTTCGCTCGGTTCAACGCTTGCAATCATTCCTGCCGCATCAATAGGAGATGGGTGATGCACGAGTGGTCCTTCATGAAGCTGTGCTGTACCGGCGTCAGATCTTTCGACCCCAGCAGCTGGAGGAGACCATTTTTCACAATTTTCTCGAGCACCTTCGCCAAAACGGGTGAGACAAATCGGCCGGTAACTGTCCACCTTTCGTGGATCACCGCCTTTTGGAATCGGCTTCACTACCGAGCATTTCCAGTCGTTCGGCAATGCACCTTCGGACAGCGATCTGTTAAACAGATCCGTCACGGCAGGCGAGATGATGGCCGATAAGGACTTTAAAATAAGCGGGTGAAGCCCATCGGGTCCGGTAGGCTTCATGCCGTCAAGACTGGTGTGTAGACTGCGGACCCAAATTGACCACATAGCCATAAGTTACAGGTGGCGCGGTTCCATTCTGGATTGCCGCTCGTACTGGAGTACCTGTGTCGACTCTGACCATGCCTTGGTGCGCTGTCGTTTCTCCATGAACTTTACCGGAAGGCGCACAAAGCGTCTCCCCCGATTGGCAACGGAGAAATTGTCCCAGCCCTCTGTCAGGCAAGCCTATCAAGAAGCACTGCATAGCGAACTCTCGCTGTCTTGTCCTAATGACACTGAACTTCAGTGGAATAAGATCTCGGCCACTATGCACGACGCAGGAGCATCTGCTTGTGGCACTATCAGTCGTCATCGCACCAGTCACTGGATATCCGAGAGGTCCGTGAACCTTTTGGAAGCTAGAAGGCACCTCCCGGCTGGTTCTGAACACAATGTGACCAGACGGGCTATTAGGCGTGAACTAAAGCGGAGCCTACGGGCTGACAAGGAAGCCTGGTGGACCAGTCGGGCTCAAGAAATGGAGGAGGCAGGAGCAGTAGGCAATTACCGGAAGCTCTTCCAGCTAATACGCACCACTGGTCCGAGAAAACCAGGCGTCAGTGAGACAATCAGAGAGAGCGCGGGTGCGCTGATACACAATAAGGAGCGCCGTATGGCTCGTTGGGCTGAGCACTTTGAACATCAGTTCAGCTGGCCCCCTGCTCCCGGACCTCTTCCTACTCAGGTGATGCAGGACGAGCCATGGACGGTTACTTTAGAGCCTCCGTCGGAGGCCGAAGTCCGAAACGCGATCACAGCCCTTAATCGTTTTCGTGCCGCTGGCCCGGATTCCCTACCACCTGCACTATTTAAGGATGGTGGTGAGGTCCTCTGCAAAGCACTGACCTCCCTATTCGAACGTATCTGGAACGAAGAGAGTGTGCCGGCTAATTGGAGCGAATCGATTATAGTGGCAATATACAAGAAGGGCAGTCGCACAGACTGTGCGAACCACAGGGGTATTAGCCTAACGCCAGTTGTGACAAAATTACTGGTCTCGATTATCGTTCGTCGCCTCACTGCAGAACGGGAATCTCGGATTAGAGAAGAGCAGGCCGGTTTTCGCCCAGGACGTGGCTGTATAGACCATATATTTACTTTGCGGCAGGTGCTAGAGCAGCGCCACGCATACCGCAGACCGACAATAGCTGTGTTCCTCGATTTCAAGAGTGCGTTCGATTCAGTCGATCGATCGATTCTGTTCGAAATACTTGCGCGGAAAGGTGTTCCCACGAAATATGTGAACATCCTTCGTGCTCTATACTCGAACACTAGAGGCCGCGTCAGGGTCTACGGTGTCCTGTCAGATAGCTTTTCGACTACAAGTGGCGTTCGACAGGGTTGCCCGATTTCCCCATTTTTGTTCAATTTCGTCGTGGATTCTATCATGGAGTGTTCCCTTGCGCAATCTCACGATGTAGGTGTTGAAGTGCTGCCTGGTGAACGGTTAGTTGATCTAGATTATGCGGACGATATCGTCTTGCTTTTCGACAATGTTGAGGCGGCACAATCAACCCTGAATAGCCTATCCAGAGTGGTCCCATTATTTGGTATGCACTTCGCACCTTCAAAGTGCAAAGTGTTGCTGCAGGACCACCAGCCACTCGATGACCCCTTGACGCTTGCTAACGAGGAACTCGATGTGGTTGATCAATTCACTTATCTTGGCAGCTGCATCAGCAATGATGGGCGCATAGAAACTGACGTTAGCTCACGCATTGCAAAGGCCAGAGCTGCCTTCTTGAACCTGCGTCATCTTTGGCGACAGAAGGGAGTTTCCCTCCGTCTGAAAGGCCGTGTATACAAGGCCACAGTGAGGGCCGTTCTGCTCTATGGTAGTGAAACTTGGCCCCTTCGGTCTGAAGATCTGAGGCGCCTTCAAGTCTTTGATCATCGTTGTTTGCGAAGCATTGCTGGTGTCGGATGGCACCAGCGTGTCCGCAACGATGATGTGCGTAGGCGAGTACTAGGGGGTGATGATCATGCTAGCTCCCTAGAACAACAGATTGCACTGAATAAGTTACGTTGGCTCGGGCACGTGCTACGTATGCCTGGTCACCGCTTACCTAGGAGGGCCTTGTTCAGTCTACCAGGTGTCGGATGGCGCAAGGCTCGAGGTGGACAGAAGTTGACTTGGCAGCGGGAAATGAAGTCACTGACGACCAAACTGGGTGCCGTTGATCCGTCTCGCCCTCCGGGTTGGGGTCCACGTGACTCACCTTGTGCTTGGCTCGAGACTTTACAGGACATGGCTCGCAACCGACACCAGTGGC